AACTGGGAATAGAAAGAACATACTTCAACATAATAAAAGCAACATATGACAGACACACATCTAGTGTCATATGGAATGGCAAAAAACTGAAAGCCTTTTCTATAAGATCTTGAACGTGACAAGGATGACCACTGTCACCACTGTTATTTAACAAAGTACTGGAAGTCTTTGCTAGAGTGATTAGACAAGAGAAAGATATCAAAGTAATTCAAGTTGAATTGAAAGAAGTCCAATTTTCTCATTTGCTTAGGATACTATCTTACATTTGGAAACCTAAGGACTCCAGAAGAAAGCCACCAGAACTGATCAATAAATTCAGCAGAGTTACAGAAAACAAAACCAACATGCAAAAATCAGTAGCATTTCCACATGCTAACAGTGATATTAATTTAAAATAGTCCCATTTATACAAGAATAAAATTAAATACCTAGAAATTAATTGAATCAAAGAAGTGAAAGATCTTTATAATTAAAATGATAAAGTACTAATAAATGTAACTGCAAAGGAAACCAAAAAATAGAAAGATATTTCATTTTCATTGATTGGAAGAATCAATATTGTTAAAATGTCCATACTACTAAAACCAACATATAGGTTTAATGCTCACAATACCAATGGCATTCTTCATAGAAATGGAAAATACAATCCTAAAATTTATATGGAACCACAAAAGACCCAGAATAGCCAAAGCTACCCTAAGCAAATAGAACAAAACTGGAGGAATCGCATTACCTGACTTCAAATTTTACTATGCATCTATAATAACAAAAATAGCACGGTACTGGCAGAAAAAGACACAGAGACCAAAGGAAGACTGTTGAGAACCCAGAAACAAATCTACCAACAGTGAACTCATTTTCTTTAAAGGTACCAAGAACATACATTGGAGGAAAAACAGTCTCCTCAATAAACCATGCTGGGAAACCTGGATATCTATATGCAGAAGAATAAAACAAGATCCTTACCTCTCAACACATAAATTAACTCAAAATGGATTAAGGACTTAAATCTAAGTCCCCAAACTATGAAACGACTACAAGAAAACACTGGAAAAATCTCCAGAACATTGGTCTGGGCAATTTGCAGTGCTTTGGGAGTGTCATAATAACTTGCTTTTTTCATATATTTCCTGTATTATTATGCTGATTTTTTTTTGCATATGCAGAAATAGTTGCTTCTCTTTATTTCTGAAGTTATTTTGTTGGTGTAGGGCATTTTTCCCTGAGAATACAACAATAATGTATGTTGAGTAGAGCCATATGACTTTACTTCTGGGTGCATTCAGTGTTAAAATACATGAGTTTTTTGGTTTAAATAGCCTTAATATAGCGGGTTTCTCAAATGCTGATTGTAGCAGCACAAAAGCTTGTGCACAGCAACCAAAATAACAGAGTAAACAACCACCTACGGAATGGAAAATTATTTGCAAATAATGCACGACAGAACACTAATCACCAAAATTTACAAGAAACTCAAACAACCTAACTCAACAAAAACAAAATAATCCTATTATAAAGTGAGCACATGCCATTTTCCAAAAGACATACAAATGGCCAAGAAGCATATGAATAAATGTTTAACTTCATTTCTCTTATCAGAGAAATGCAATTTTAAATCACAATGAGATATAATTTTACCCTAGTCAGAAAGACTATTATTAAAAACTCAACAAATTATAGATGTCTGTGAGAATGTGAAGAAAGAGAATGCTTACACACTGTTGGTAGGAATGTGAACTAATACAACCTGTATGGAAAACAGAAAGGAGGTTTCTCAAAGAACTAAAAATAGAACTACCATTTGATCCAGCAATCCCACTACTGGGTTATCTAGCCAAAGGAAAAGAAATCATTTTATCAAAAAGATACCTGCAGTTGTATATTTGTTGCAGCACTATTCGCAATAGCAAAAAGATGGAATCAATCTCTGTCCATTGATAGATGAATGAACAAAGAAAATGTGGTGTATATATATAACAGTGTGTGTGTAAATAGATACACACATGCACACACACATTTATATATATATATACACACATATTCAAACATTCATATATATATTGAATATATTTTATATATATATAAACATATATATATATATATATATATATACATATATATATATATATATAAACATATATATATATATATATGGCACGGAATACTATTCAGCCATAAAAAAAGAATAAAAGAAATCATGTATTTTTCAGAAACATGTATGAAACTGGGGGCCATTATCTTAAATGGAACAACTCAGAGACAGAAGATCAAATACTGCATGTTCTCACAAGTAAAAGCTAAATAATGTGTATACATGGACATGAAATGTGTAAAAAGAGACACTGGAGATTCAGAAGGGTGTGAAGGATGAGAAATTACTTAAGGGAAAAAATGTACATTATTTGATTAATGGTTACACTAAAAGCCCAGACGTCACTATTACATATTATATTCCTGTAACAAAACTGCATTGTAACCCTTAAAATTCTACACAAATAAAATAAAATTAGGAATCTTTGTTTACACCAGAGTAAAGAAAATAAGCCACCAATTGGGAAAAGCTATTTGCAATGCACATGCAGTAAAAGGGTTTTAACAGACTAAAAAATGAACTTTCACAAATATACAAAAACAAACCCAGAAAATTCAATAAATGGGTAAAAGCTAATAGATTCTTCAAAATTACATAATATTAAAATGACAAATAAACATATATAGATTCTCCACTTCATTGTTATTCAGAGAAATGCAAACTGTAACAATAGTGACCTATCATTACAGAAGGGCTAAATTTTTAAAGACCAATAATCGAACAGTTGGTAAAAATGTAGAGCAGGAGAAACTTATGGATACTTCAAGACATCATGTTGTATATGATAAATACATACTATTCGTCAAATTTAAAAATTAAAAAATACTATCTGAGAGGTGTGAGATACTGAATTCTTAATGTAATTTAAAATTTCTTAATGTTGGTTCTGATTATAGTGAAGATGATTTTAATTTTAATTTGGTGAATAATAAAAAATGACTAGTTTCTTTACAAATGGACTACTTAAATGATGTTACAATGTAAAAGCAAATTACACAAAGTGAGATTTAATGAAGGAGGATACAATAATACCTCACAGTTTTTCATCTTTTAAAATAGAACTACATTTAGCAGTTGAACTGTCTTATTTAATACTCATAAAAACCTGGGCACTAGACATTGACATCATCAAACATAATTTAGAAATAAGAAAACCAGGGTAGCACAGTGGCTCATGCCTGTAATCTCAGCACTTTGGGAGACCAGGTGGGCTGATCACCTGAGTTTAGGAATTTAAGACCAGCCTGGCTAGCATGGTGAAACACCTTTTCTACTAAAAATACAAAAAATTAGCTGGGTGTGGTAGCACGTGCCTGTAATCCAAGGATTTGAGAGGCTGAGGCAGAGAACTGCTTGAACCTGGGAGGCAAAGGTTGCAGTGAGCTGAGATTGCACCATTGCACTCCAGGCTGGGCAACAAGGGTGAAATTCCATCAAAAAACAAAAAAAGGAAAAAAGGAAGAAAGAAAGAAAGAGAGAGGGAGGGAGGGAGGGAAGGAAAGAAGGAAAGAAGGAAGGAAGGAAGGAAAAGAAAAAAGAAAGAAGGAAAGAAAAGAAAAGAAAAGAAAAAAAGAAAGAAAGAAAGAAAGAAGAAAGAAAGAAAGAAGGAAGGAAGGAAGGAAGGAAGGAAGGAAGGAAGGAAGGAAGGAAGGATAAAGAAAGAAAGAAAAGAAAAGAAAGAGAAAGAAAAAGAAAAAGAAAGAAAGAGAAAGAACGAACGAAGGAACAAAACCAAGTATTACACAGCACAAGTAACTTTTCCTAATGTTAGATCTAGGAGTTGGAAGTAAGCAGTCTCATCCTGAATTTTTGTTCTTGGTATGCAGAGGAAGTGAAAATAATTACATAAACAAAAACTGATATTCAAGATTTTCAAATTAGGCATACTTTTAGTAACTTAGATTGATAAAGAAAAACTGCCTAGAATATCAACAGAGAATTACTGATTTTCAGGATTAATAGGAATCTAAGATGCCATTCTCCTAGCTGAACACTCTCTATTTCAGTTTTCTTTTGGACAACGTTCTTCATTCTTGTGAGGCTCCACACATTAATTCCTTTTGTAGAACTGACATTGGTGAGTTTTGTTTTGGTGTGATTTAGCTTCCAATGACTGACCCTAACTCTGTCCCTGATTAATTTGTAGTCTAATTATATTACAGTGGGTGGTTCTGAAATAATTAGATAAATGTATCAAGTTATACATAAACAATTTCTTCTTCAAATATTCCCAGTTCGTTCTTCTCTTTTTCAGATGGAATGATTCCTGATACCTTTCCTCAGGATATGTTCATTTGTCAACATCCCTTATTGATAAAATTGGAAAATTTCAAGGGATAATTGCACATATAAAGAAATAGCTTATGTCCAATATCTGGGACATGATAAAATCTTTCAAATTTCCTTAAGAATTCAGAGCTGTGATAGTCTCATTTGTGTGTGGAGTAGGTTCCTCTTCAAAATTACAAAGTTCATTTATTTTAATTTAGGAAAGTTTTTTTATTTTTCCTTTGGGGCAAAGAAAGAAAAGTATTCATGAGCATTCTCCTTTTCAATATGTTTATTTATTTAGGTTATATTTCTATGAGTGGAATTGATGGATAAAAAATTGTCTATTGGGATAGAGGCTAAGTTGCTGTAATGAAGAAAATCCCAAAATACAAACAATGGCTTAAATATGATAGAAGTTCATTTCTAAATCAGGAAACAGCATAATTAGCACGGTAATCCTGCCTCCTGAGAACTTTTAGGAAGGGGGGTTTTCTCCATCTTGTTCACTATCAACTAATAAGACATTGCCCTTATCTTTATGACCAAAATTATGTCACTGCTAAAATCTGCTTTCCAGTCTAAAGAAAGCAGCAGTCCCAAACAAGAGATTTCACTTTTATTATAAATTGTAACTGACCTGGAAGCTGCACACATAAATATTGTTCTCATTTTCTTGAAGAGAATGGATTTGAACAGACAGGTTGGTTATAAGGAGGCTGGGGAGTGTGGTCTTCATCAGTGAAGCCATAGGCATTACTTCAGCTCTTTTCCTGTGAAAACAGAAGAAAATTTGGTGGGTCAACCATCTCTTCTACAGAGAGTACATTCTTTTGTTTCTATGAATTTCAAAATAATTTTTAAGATTCTTTACAAATCTCTTTAAAATATTAGTAAACATATTAGTAATCTGTAGGGTATAAATCAAAATTTTTAAGACAGGAAATTAATAATAAAGTCAACATCAACATGCAGAAGCAAACATCTCAAGTTACAGAAACAGAAGGGTGTAATCATATTAGAAATGTGTATGTTGACCACAAGCCTTTGTGCTGTCATGGGCTTTAGTGAATACAATTTACTTAAAGAATAGAGAGTAAAATTTGTCTTGCAGGTTGATTCAATGTGGTCAGTTAAGGCAGCTTCTCTTGTACCAACTTCTCTGTGGTACATCATATGTTTCTCTGGACACCATATTCTCAAACATACGCTCAAAGCTTTCCTCTAATAATTCAGAACTCACTCTAAGTAGTCACATTAACATTACAATAAGAAATTCACATTTCTTATGTATGCTGGTTACTTTTCTAGTAAATACTGCTTATATTGAAGAATCATTTACTAATCTTTTTGCTATTACATGGAAAAGTGTTTGCACAAACAAAGTAAATAAGTGGAAACCAAAATTTGCATGTTTAGTGATTTTAGAGGACACCAAAATAAATAATGCATATTGATAAGGTAACTAAAACCATTTTGAATTCCTTCAACTCCAATCATAGACAAAGAAAGTGTATGCTATTCATTTGTGACATTCTGGATTCTCTCCAACCTTTCATGTACATATTCATGTTTAAAAGTTTTGTTCCAGGATAGTCCTATTGAACTGTACAAATTCTGAGGGAAGAAAGCAATACATGCAGCACTTCAAATACATCCTTGCTCTTAAACCTGAGATGGCTAGTCTACTCACTGGAACCTGTTCTAGGAGAGTTCTGTACTGCATGAAGATCATGGGAAGGAAAAGCCTCTACTCTCCAGGACCTTAGGTTTTAGAAAGTGAAGATAAAATATACTCTAAGAAACAACTATTTACCAAGTCTAATCTTAAAGCTTTGAATCATTCATATTTTAGCCCCACATCCAAGTAATCACAAAGTCTCATATTCTAACTTCTCATCTTCACAGCCACTAGTTTATAATATTTCCAACAGCAATGTCACTTGTCCTACTGGCTCTGGTCTTATCTCACTGTAATACTCTCTTGCAGAGAGATTTCTTCCACTCTGCACCATAACCTTGAAACATATAACAACTTAATAAAAAAATTACATATGAGTAACATAAAACACGACTTAGGTAATGACTCCATCCTCCCGCTCATAACTCATCTCTGACTTGGGTCAATATAATATGCTCAATCACCTACTTTCTCCACACTCTTATATGGCATACTTAGTCTATGCTCTTCATAAAGGATTTACATTTTTAGGGTTGAAATATAATTATGTCATCTCCATTCTCAGTTGAAATATTTAAAATATATCCTCAAAACTTTTAGATAAGTCCCAATTCCCTTATATAGCTCTTGGAGTTCTGGATGTGATGTTGCCTTGCTGTTGGGATTTATCTCTAGTTATTACTCTTCATGTGTGCTAAAGCATGCCATTTAAAACTATTTATAGTTATCTAACCTTATAATCTCTCTTGCCTTGAGGCTTTAGCACTTCCTGTTTCTTCCCTAAATGTACTCACCCCTTTCATGTTGCTTGTAAATTCCTTGTTGTCTTACATGACTCTAGTCTGAGCACT